GCAAAAACATAGATTGGATCGGATGGTGGCAACGTTCTTAACTTTGTTCTCTCCTTGGAGAGTGGAGAGCAATAAGGCATGTTTGAAGATATTCATATATGCAACACCTCAAAATTATACTTGGAACAGGAGATTCAGTTAAGCGAGATTCTGAAGCTATAATCTTGCCTCTTCCTTTTTCTTGAATGAATTCCCGCCTCTCCCTGTTGAGGGAATTTTTCTTCTAGCTCGACTTCTTTCTCTTTTCATATATTTATTTTCTATAATGTGTTTGGTTTCTTTAATAGTGGACCAGATTCCTACTACAGGCCAAACAACCAAGAAGTGATGTTCATTACCTAGCCTTTAAGCCTTTTAGCTAACCCTAAACCCTAAACCATTTCGAAGGAGTAGCGCTCCCCTCTCCTCCCGTGTCGCTCTCGCGAGCGACCGGGGGGAACCCTAGCCGCCGCGACCCGACCTCCCTCTCCTCCCTTGCCGCCGCCCAGATATGCCGTCGGACGAAGCCCGGCCGGTGGGGGCGATGGCGGGGCCTCTTCTTCCTCCCCCCTCGTGCTCCAGGCTGGCGCGAGATGACCGTCGAGTGGGGGCGCCTGGCTTTGGCAGGGCCGGCGGCACGGCTGCGTGCTTGGAGTTCGGCGGTGGGGTTGCCTGGTGGGGACGCGACGTCGAGCAGCGGGCTCGTTTGTGGCGCGGCAGCCGTGGGGTTCCCGATCTGGGCGGTAGCGTGCTGGCACGGATCCGGCCCGATCCTCCTAGATCCGGCTCCTGGATGGTGGCGGGCGGCGCGGGGCGGTGGCCGAGGTCGGTCTTGACCTCGGAGTGGGGTGGTCTGCAGCGGCGCTGCTGCTACCTGGTGGTTGTCTGATTTGCGCGCGACAACGGCGGGTCTCTCCGGCGGCGGTTCATCTGTGTCGGACTCGAGTGAGCTCCCTCCCTCTTCTTTAGACTCAGCGACGGGTTCATCAGGACGGGGTGGTGCCATGGTGTGGTGATGCACGTGAGGCCTGCTGGTGGTGGCAGGGGACTTAGGGAAGGGGTAGGGTGCCCCCTCCATTGCTTCTGGCGGCTACTACGGGTGGCCGACGGAGTTCCCCTGTCCCTGATCTGGTCGGCGAGGTCATCGACCATGCCAAGGTGTCAGCTTTGGGGTGGAAGGCGAGCTTCCGCTTTGTTCCGGTCGGCCGCGTCTGTTTGGTGTGTCCTGCTTGAGGGTGGGGCTCGGATTGAAGGAAATATGCCTAGAGGCAATAATAAAGTTGTTATTTATATTTCATTATATCATGATAAATGTTTATTATTCATGCTAGAATTGTATTAACTGGAAACTTAGTACATGTGTGGATACATAGACAAACAGAGGTCCCTAGTATGCCTCTACTTGACTAGCTCGTTAATCAAAGATGGTTAAGTTTCCTAGCCATAGACATGTGTTGTCATTTGATGAACGGGATCACATCATTAGGGAATGATGTGATGGACAAGACCCATCCGTTAGCTTAGCATAATGATCGTTTAGTTTTTCTGCTATTGCTTTCTTCATGACTTATACATGTTACTCAGACTA